TTCTCCGTTGAGGACACCTTGTGCGAATTGCTTCCCCTTCCAAAAGAGGTTCATCGTCGCGCCATCGATGGTGAACTTCACATCTTTCTTCGCGAGTTGAGTGACGGAGAGTAGATTCACCTTCAACCCCGGGACGTGAAGCACGTTCGTGATGTCCACCGGTCCACTATCGACGATGAGACGCGTACTCCCGACTCCGACCACGGGTAGCGACTTGTTGTTCCCGAAGACGACGCGCTTAACGTCTCGTGGTGCACCAACGTTGGTGAGGAACGATGCTGAGTGCGTCATGTGTTGCGTTGCGCCGGTGTCGAGGAACCACGCGTCGCTTGGTGTGTTGTTCCTGTCACCGGCCAATAACACGATCGACTCACTTGAATCATCCGCCTCGCCGGATGCCGTGTGCGCGTTGCCCTCGTGGTTCCGCGCCTTCGATGGAGTCCAATCGCTCGGCCGCTTCCGACACTCTCGCCAAAAGTTTCCCGCTTTGCCACAATAGTGGCACTTGCTCGCGCCGTTCGATGCGTTTCCCTTGCCGCGATCGCTTCCACCGTACGACTTCTTCGTCGCACCCTTGCTCCACTTGGACTTTCCTCCGGAACTCCCTCCGGAGAACATGGCGGTCTCCACGCTCTCATTAGCGAATTGTCGGCGACGGGGTTCTTCATGGAGAAGCCGACCGACCACCATTTCCTTCGTCCAAGTGTCTTGCACGCTATCGAGTGTCGTAATCACCGTCGACCACTCTTCCGGAAGGCCGCATAGCAAGGTCAAAATCCAATCCTCCTCCGTGACCGTTCCACCGAGGTCCATGAACGTTTCCCCGAGTTCCTCCACACGAGTCGCATACTCGTGCATCGATTCGCCCGCGCGCATCTTCACCATGTAGAACGCATTACGGGCTAGGATCTTGCCGTGGAGAGTCTTGTTCACGTGGATGGTCTCGAGCCGCTTCCACGCTTCATGCGCCGACGCTTCGAGCTTGATGCACATGCGCACCGAGCTCACGAGATTGATGCCGATGCGCGAAATCAACGTAGCGAACGCCTTTTAGTCCTTCTTCTTCCATGCCGCGATGCCGCTCTCATCGTCCGGCTTCTTCTCCGTTCCATCGAAGAAACCCCAAAGTCCCCGCTCCATCATGAGCACTTGGAACTTAAACTTCCACGCGGAGTAGTTTTGTCCCGTGAAAATCGGTACCGCCGACGTGTCGAACATCGTCGCGGTTGCCCAGGGTTCGCCGGAATTTACAACGACACCATCCAAGGAAGTGCGGGAGGCCTCGCTTGAAGTCATCATGTGTGCTCCTTGTCGCGCGCGTAGACTCCTCCGACCAGCTCTGATACCACTGTTGTAGAGGACTCTCCTCTACTTTGCAGGAACTGAGAATTGTTCTAAACAGTAGAGTACTCTGCTAGCTTTCCAATGGGCCGTAGATCACCTCGTTCGCCTAAGTATCGAGCGAGATATCGCCGTTTATGTGCTAGGTAGTGCTCTTAGATTGAAGGATAGGAGCTCTCTGGAATTTGTGTTCGAATGTACCTTGTACAAAGAACTTGAGTTTCACTATGATGGCATGCAATACAAAGAAAACATATTTATAGCATGCAAACAAGATCGAATCGCACAAGTAACCTCGAACCGCTACACTCGCGAATGTTCGAGTAACATCGAAAGGGTGAAATTCGACTCTCGAATTTCACTGATCCGAATTCTCCTTGGGTCTCGAATGTTCCTGGTGCTGCCATGTGGCACCGAATCGAATGGGTCTTCCGAAGTCAATCCTCAACCCCACGCAAACCTGCAACTCACTCGAAGGTGAGAACCAAAAAACAGCACCGTTCGGTGGTTGGGGGCAAAACCTAGCCCCACGCAACCTCCAACAATAAAGCCCTCGAGAGAGCGATTTCAGAATGTCAGAAGCATGCCAATCATCCGTGTGACTTTTGAGAATTTTCAAAAGGAGCATGCCAATCATGTAATGCTCGTCTTCTATCCCCCACCTCTCTCCCCTCCCCCGGTTCTCGTCCCCTCACCCCTCGCCCCCTCCCCACTACCTTCTCCCCCTTTCCACTACCCTCTCCGCCCTCCCCACTGCCCTTTCCCCCCTCCCAACTGACCTCTCACCCCTCCCCGCATTTCCCCCCCGCACCTCCGGTTCCCTGCTTGCCAGTCCCCCTGGGTACTGTTTCCGGGCGGGCGTCTCCTTCCCCTTCCTCTCCACCCTCACCCCCATCCCCTCCCCCATCCACACCCCCATCCCCTCCCCCATCCACACCCCCTATAACCCCGCCCAGCCCCCCAGGGTACTATTTCCGGGCGGGCACGGGGGGCGGCAAGAACATGTGGCACATCTACCTGCCGGGCGGCGCGTGGTGTGGCACTGCCGCCCAGTGTGTGGCGAGGAGCAAGACGCTTTACGGGACCAGCACGCTGTATCCTACCGACCCTGCACCCGGCGTGGTATGCTTCTACCCTCCCCCTAGAAGCCCCTCACCCC